GGAGGGAGGGAGGGAGGGAGGCGGGGCTGAGAGAGCTCTGACAAAAACTGCTCTTTTTTCAGGAACAGCTCTAACAGAACTATGGCTTGTCCAAGGTCATCCAGCCAGGTGCAAGCGGAGGAGTGGGGAATCAAACCCAGTTCTCCCAGATTAGAGTCCGCGCACTGGTAGAATACTTCTGGTTTAAAAACTATTGTAATATTCAACACTGATTGCAAGAGAGTATGTACTCCAATCCAATATTTATGAAGCGTTTTACATGTCCACCACACATGATAGTATGATCCAACATGATTATTACATTTCCAACATTAGTTACTCAAGTCTTTATACATTTGAGCTAACCTATCTCGGGTTAGATGCCCCTCCAGCAACCTTTTTGGGAGAGGCAGGCAAAAACAAAAATACTGATTGTTCCGAATTTAGAGTGTGACTGTTCACAAACAACCGGGTTCAAAGGAAATCCGAGTTGAATATTGCATTTATATTCTAGTTGACTACAAACACTGTTGTGTTAGTTGCCTTGCGGCTAAAAAGTGGGGCCAAAAATATTTCCAGTTAACATCTGCGACTGTAGTGTGGTTGTGGAAGTGATTCATCGCCATCTATGACGTGGATTGCATTAAAGGGTGCTTTTATGTTTTGCTTTGTTTTTTAAAATATAAGTATCACAAAAAGTTGGATCCAGCCAGTTCCTTTCGCCCACTCTTGCCCGTTTCCCTTTCCGGCTCCAGCACACAGGTCCCGTGATTCTCTTTTGGTGGTTCAAAAGAACCTCCCATCCTCCCCCCCTTCCTTTCTCGCACACAGGACACAACCCTAACAATGCACTCGGTCCCGGAAGGTATTTGCTGTCACGGACTTCCTCCTGGACAGAGGGATATGCTTGTTTGCTCGTGGATGCTAGGAGACCGCGGGTGCCACTCCCGGCGCACCAGGATCCCCTACGGAGTTTGCACGGGCCGTACTGCTCCTGCGCTCCCCGTTTATGTCCTCCAAAGTTCTGCGGGGCATTCCGTTCAGAAACATCGACAGGCCGGCCGGCCCGAGAGCAATGGGCGCAACGCCTTCCCTTAAGGGATATGGTTCAGTGTCCTTGAACAATACGAGTACGGATCAGAAACCTGCCTCGTGCGACTCCGGGCCGCTGGAGGGGAGAGTACAGGTTGGGTCACCTGCATGTCTGGGGCGGCTGTTTTGAGTTCAAGAAGGACGGGGGGGGGGGCTGCTGGATCAGGAAAGCAGCACATAGGGGGAGACCCATAAGTATGGGGCAGTGGCTCTGGGAGACAAACCCCCCACTCAGGCCACGGAAGCGGGAGCTTGCTGGGTGACCTTGGGCCAGTCACCCACTCTTAGTCTAACCTGCCCACAGTGTCGTTGCCGTGAGCACGAAACGGAAGAGAATTACGGAAGGCTGCTTTAAGTTCCCGCTGGGGAGGGAGTCAGGGTGTACATGGAGTATTTCCGTTGATGCTCCCCACAAGCTTGTTAAGCAGCTTGAAGGCTAGCACCAGTTTGATGTAATGGTTGGGAGCGTGGACGCTAATGTGGGAGAACTGGGTTTGATTCCCCGCTCCTCCACATGCAGCCGGCTGGTGTGACCTTGGGTCAGTCACAAGCTCTGGCACAGCTGTCCTTGAAAAAGAGCAGTTTCTGTCAGAGCTCTCTCAGCCCCACCCACCTCACAGGGGGTCCCTGTTGTGGGGAGAGGAAGGGAAAGGAGTTTGCAAGCCGCTCTGAGAGTCCTTCGGGTAGTGAAGGGCGGGGTACACATCCAATCTCTTCTTCTTCTAGATGCGGGGGCCCCACTAGGCTGTGTAACCCCCCCCCACTCTACTTACAATGACATCCTCAACACAGTTGCATCCATCTAAGCCCACTGACACCCATGCACCTCAAACAGCACAACTCCACTGTGTGGTTGGTCACAATTAGGGCCCCCGCCGGGTCAGAGAAGGTTCCCAAATCCGAATGCTTTTCTTCCCGGCCTCCCCAGCTTCCAAACCAAGAGGGACCACCTGGTAGGGAAGCGCCTTTCGCACTCAGGTTCCACTTCCCCAGCCCCACCACACCGCTGTGACTCGGCCACCTCATTCGGGGCCTTTGCAAGGGGAACAGAAAATCACAGAAGCGCTTGTGGTTTGGGCGGCCAGGGCGCTGAAGAAGAGGATCTTTCCCGGAAGAGCAGCACCCTCCAACCGCACCTGGCCCACCAGAAACCGAAATCCTTTCCGGCCGGTTGCTCTGGAGGAGAACTCACTTTCTCCAGTGAGGACAGATTCAGGTGGGGTCACCGTGTGGGTCTGAAGCGGCAGAGCAAAGTTCTGAGTCCCGGGCCCCCCTTGGAGGCCGACAACATTTTACTCAACGTGTCAGCTTTCATGTGCAAAACACACTTCACGAAAGCTGACACCTTGGATAAAACTTCGTACTGCGTTTTGCACAAACTGCCTTGGCCTCAAAGGGGCCCCTGGATGAGCGAGGGATTTGGCTGCTGCATGAATCAGTTTGCTCTGGAGCCACCTCCTTCCTGAGCGAAGGCAAAAATGTGTGAGCCGGAGGCTAAAAAACTGCGAGCCGGCTCACACTAAGTCAGCTTGGAGGGAACACTGCCCTGGACTCCAGCTTGGTTCTGCTAACTTTCCCCGAGTGACTCAGGGCGCTTGCAAAATGCCTGAAGTCTCTCCCCCCCCCCCCCCCAGCCTTTCTCTTCCAGGAATTCCTCTCCCCAGCTTGCCAAGAAGGGCTGCCTGGCCCGGGGAAGCGCCCCCCCCTCCTCCTCCCCCCCGGGCCTCCAGGGATGGTTCCCTCCGAGGGGTGGGGGGTTGGGAGTGGTTCGCAGACCCCCAAACGCCCCACTTGACACTCGGCCGGGGCGAGAAGAGAAAGGCCTGGCCGGGAAGCCGCCTGATTCAGCCGGGACTCTTCCGCAGCGCTCCCCCCCCTCCCCGTTGCGGACAGGGGCGGCAGGCGCATGCAGGGAAGCGACAGGCACTCGCGCGCCGACAGGCAGGGGCAGGGACGCCGCCTTGCTGCGCCCGCGGGCACCGTCGTTGCCAGGCTCTCGCGGACCGGACGCCTCGTTTTGCCTTCGGGGGGCGGGGAGGGGGGGCTCCTACCTGCGGAGGGTGATCGGCGCTGCGCTGCCTGCTCGCTCGGCCGCCGCTCTCCGCCCAGGCCCGCCCGGAGACTCGCCGCCGCCGCCGCCCAGCCCGCCCCTTCCTGGGAGGAGACCCGGCCTTCGCACGGGGCCAAGAAGAAGAAGGCGCCTCCTCCCGCCTTGCTCCCGAGGAGCCGCGGCTGGCTGGCTGGCTGGCTGGCCTGGCTCCCCTCGGCAGAAAGGGCCCAGCCCGGCTGCTGCGCTGGCCTCGCTCGGACGCGCAGACCCCCGTTCACACGTGGCGGCGGCGGCGGCGGGTCACCGAACAGGGACAGGCGCCCCTCTGCCCGCAAGAGGACACGCGCCCTCCTTCAGCACTGCCCCCCGGGGGGGGGGTTTAAAACACACACGTGTCCACCGACGGGAGGGAGAAGACAGCGCGTCCAGCCGCACGTGTGAATGCGGCCCGGGGCCCTCCTCGCACGGCGCAGGGAGGGCCTCTTCTCTTCGGGGCAAACCTCCCCCGGGGGGCTCTGATATCTCGAATTGGGCACACTTGGGGGGGGGGGGGGTAAAAAAAAATCTCGAATTGGGGACCCTTGGGGGGGGGGGGGCGTCGGCTGGCCTCAGGCACTTGGGCCTGTTTAGGATGGGGCTAGAGATGTAAAATTTCCGGAAATTAGTTTTTTTCAGGGGGAAACGGAAATTTTCGGAAAAATTGAAAAAATGCTACATTAGCATTTCTTTTGTCTTTTCTAGATTGAAAGTCATTCTGTTACTTTAGGAACATAAAATATGACTATGGACATTTTTACTTGGCATGAAATTATCACAACTAGCATATAAAACATATAGTGTATCCAAACAATTATTACAAACAGAATACCCACCCACATGCAAAATCAGAACTGAAACCTTTTTCTTTTCTTGTGACAATAGCACCTCCTAAAGGAAGAAATGCATCTTGTTCTTGCATTGGAGAGTTCAGTTTGTAACCTAGGACTTGCTTGGCCTCAGTGCACAGAAATTAGATCAATATACACACACACACACAGAGAGAGAGAGAATATTTGAACACCTTGTCTTAAAATATTTTATTCATCATGTTAAAATAAAATGTTCCATAATCAATTTTTTTTCTTTTCTTTTTCCAGTTTTTCAGAAAAAAAACAAAAAAAGGCTTCAGGAATAAAACGGGGGGAAACCGGGTTTTTTCCGGGCCTTCACATCTCTAGATGGGGCTCCACGTTGCCTTCTGACCTTGGCTGTTGGGGGAGGGAGGAGCTCCGCGTTTCCCAAGGAAGCAAGGAATGTGGGGCGAGGGGGGCTACTTGTTTGGAGCCCCCTCGCAGCCCGATCCCTCCCGCGCGCGCACAGTAGTTGGTCCCCTTTCGTGCAATGCGGGTTTTCTCCCCGACCTGTGCCCGACTGGGCCGAGCAGGATTCGGGATCGCACGGACACAGCAACCATACTGTAGTTTCCCAAAATTAAAAATCATGAGTCGGACCCTACATCTCACATGCTCCAGCACACGGCCTGTGGATGGAAATCCAGATGCCCCCCACCTCTTCTCCCCCACCCCGAGGGTCCAGAAAGGGGAGACCCGGCCAATTCTCGCTGTCTCCATCTGGCATCCCAAAACCGGCTGCTGCTTCCTGCCTCTGGGGCAGGATGTCTGAGTGGGAGGAGGCCTGACCCCTTGGGTAGCTGATATAGAAAAAGAGAAGAGATCGGATGTATACCCCATGGCCCTTCACTACCGAAAGCTGTCTCAGAGCGGCTCACAATCTCCTTTCCCTCCCCCTCCCCACAACAGACACCCTGTGAGGGAGGCAGCGCTGAGAGAGCTCTTGACAGAAACTGCTCTTTTTCCAAGAACAGCTCTTATCAGAACTACAGCTTGCCCAAGGTCATCCAGCAGCTGCAGGTGGGGGCGTGGGGAATCAAACCCGGTTCTCCCAGATTAGAGTCCGCGCACTTAACCACGACACCAAACTGTCAGATATAAATTTAAAAAAACCCAAACTAGACACTTATTAAATACTTTTATAACAATTTTCTTTAAAAACTATTTTATGAATGCGTATGTAATTATATATTACTGCGGAATTATATATTACTGTATTTATAAAATAGCTTCTAAAGAAAATCATTTTCTTTAATGTATTTAATCTGCATTTAATAAGTCGATGGTTTGTTTACTTTGGTGTTTTTTGTATTTATGTCAACTTCCACCGCAAAAGTCCCCTTTTCCTGTTTGTAATCTTCAGGCTGTCACAATTAGACTCATAGAACCATAGAGTTGGGAGGGACCTTCAGGGTCATCTAGTCCAACCCCATGCACAATGCAGGAAATCCACAAATGCCTCCCCCTTCCACACCTCCCAGTGACCGCTGCTCCATGCTCAGAAGATGACAACAAAGAACCTCCAGGATCTTAAAGGTGCCTGGCCAAATGGGCCTGAAGGAAAATGGCTGCCTGACCCCAAACTGGCGGTCAGCATTTCCCTGGGCGTGTCAGAAAGGGCCACGAGAACTCAGCGCTGAGGCAACCCTTCCTGCCCTCCCTTCTCGTGATCTGCCTAGAATAATCTCCAGACGAGCATGGCCAGTTCCCCTGGAGAAAATGGCTGCTTCGGAGGGTGGAGTCTATGGCCGTAGACCCTGATGAGCCCCCACCCCAAGCCCCGACCTCCTCAGGCTTCACACACACCCCAAATCCCCAATTGCTTCCCAACCTGGAGCTGACAGAGCTAGTTTTAGCAGCACCCTCCAGCCATGCTCTGGGACTGTGTGCTTTACTGAGCAGTGCTGACTCTTTGTGGGAGGCGGCAGGGGACCCAAGAGCAGCTCTGGCCCTTGCCCAAAGGAACAGGATATGCCACCCTGCGGGCACTTCCTGCCAGGCCCAGCGGCACCCTCCGCCTATCCTGTGACTTTTGCAAGCGGCAGCTGGCGCACAACCCGAGGGCGGGAGTCGTGGGCCCACAGAGTCCCCAGCACACCGTCTCCCTGCCCGGTGACAAGCATCCGCAGCAGCCTTTAGAGGCGTCCGGCCAGTTCGGCCTCCACCAGTTTCACGAAGGCACATTGTTTGGTCAGCTCATTGGCTTGCCTCGTGGAAGCTAGAGCCAGTCGGTCAGCCGTGTTGGTCTGAAGCAGTAGAACAAATTTAGAGTCCGGTGGGGGCCCCTTGAAGAAGAAGAAGAAGAGAGAAGAAGAGACTGGATTCGTACCCCATGGCCCTTCACTACCCAGAGGAGTCTCAGAGCGGCTTACAAACTCCTTTCCCTTCCCCTCCCCACCACAGACACCCTGTGAGGTGGGTGGGGCTGAGAGAGCTCTGACAGGAACTGCTCTTTTTCAAGGACAGCTCTTTTCAGAACTACGGCTTGCCCAAGGCCATCCAGCAGCTGCGAGTGGAGGAGGAGTGGGGAAATCAAACCCGGTTCTCCCAGATTAGAGTCCGCGCACTTAACCACTACACCAAACTGGCAGGATGAACAGCAAATTGTCATGTAACCTGATGAAGATGTTTTAAGTCAATGGGAAAACAGAACTAAATAACAAGCTAAGGTTTATGGGTTCAACAGTGCCGCATGACGGAGTGAGCTACCGTCTCTAGTTCCAGCTCCTGCCAACCTAGCAGTTCGAAAGCAAGAAATTGCAAGTAGATAAATAGGTACCACTTCGGTGGGAAGGGAACAGCGTTCTGTGCGCCTTGGTGTTTAGTCATGCCGGTCACATGACCACGGAAACGTCTTCGGACAGCGCTGGCTCTTCGGCTTTGAAACGGAGATGAGCACCGCAACCCTAGCAAGGGAACCTTTACCTTTAAGGTTTATGGGTTCAACAGTTGTAAAGCAATAAATATGTCCAAATGAGTCTGAGACTCTCCATTCACTCCTCTCAGGCATGGAGTCAGTTAACAGCATTTTAACTTTCTTTTTCAAGGTGAGAGCAGTGGTAGGTCAGCCAAACCTTCCAATATTCCTTGTATTACATTCAGTATTCTAATATACCATTCTGTGAATCCCCAGTGGGGAAGGGAAAGCAGGATATAAAGAAACAAGTGCAAACGCAAGAGAAGAGTTTGGATTTATACCCCATGGCCCTTCACTACCCGAAGGAGTCTCAGAGCGGCTTTCAATCTCCTTTCCCTTCCCCTCCCCACAACAGGCACCCTGTGAGGTAGGCGGGGCTGAGAGAGCTCTTTTGAGGACTGCTCCTGAGAGAACAGCTCTGAGAGAACTTGTGACTGGCCCAAGGTCACACCAGCAGCTGCACGTGGAGGAGTGGGGACTCAAACCTGTTCTCCCAGATTAAAGTCCACACTCCTAACCACTACACCAAACTGGCTCTCAAATATGCCCTCATTCGTGGAGCCCGGAGTGCTCTCCGCTTAATTTATTCCAACGTGACATTTCATTTGGCCCCGAGAGACGCAGAATTCACCACTGGTTCCATCTCTGGCATGCCACCAGCAACCAGAGGGGCAGAAATCTTTGCTGCGCCCAAACAACAGGTTGAGGCATGGCATCTCTCCCACCCCTCTGAGCGATTGTTCTGGAACAATCCTTGCGTTTGTAGCTCTGTTCCTGCCGGCGTATAGCAGCAGGGGAGAGACTGGGTACCCTTTGTGACTGCGAAGAGCTCTGTTCCTTGCGTTGCGAGTCTGTGCGTGTGGGAGGGTGTACATGTGTCAGATTGTGAGACAAATAGCAATGGGACCCAGCACCCCCCCCTTTGCAATTTAGAGGCGCCGCCTCGGAAGCCACGCAGAAGCATCCGTGTCTTGTGGACTCCGCTGCAGTGGCCAGGGCGGTGGCTTGCCCCAAATGCTCCAGCCGGACGCAAAAAAAACCTCCATCTCTGCTTCGACCAGTGGGGCTCAAGTAGATCGGGATTGGCTCCTTAGCCGATCAAGAACCACGAGGGTAAGAAAGAAGCCTGATAAAGGGTCAATTTAAAAAACCCAGCTAAAACTTACAATATACAGAAATACATGCATTTATTAGAAAGACAATTAAGAACATGTACGGCCCCAAGGAAAGCCTGGTTAAAAAAGTTCAAGCAGCCTGAACACAAGGGCCAAGAGACGTGACCTGACACGTTTCCGCCCTATTGGGGGCCTTCTTCAGAGGTCAAAAAAAAAAAAGCCATCTGATATTATGTTGAACATCCAGAGCACTCTAGTCAATAATTGCTAAGAATGTTTTTGTATTGTGGGATTTATAAATGTTTTTAAATTTGTTTTATATTGGCGTTTGCCACTTGTAAGCTGCCCTGAGCCCGCATTGCGGGGAGGGCGGGGTATAAATCGAATTAAATAAATAAATAAATAAATAAACATTATTGAGGTGGTTGTTGTTCAGTCGCACAGTCGAGTCCAACTCTTCGCGACCCCATGGACCACATCACGCCAGGCCCTCCTGTCTTCCGCCGTCCTCCGGAGTTTGCTCAATTTCATGTCCGTTTCCTCGATAACCCTGTCTAACCATCTCATCCTTGGCCGTCCCCGCCTTCTTTGACCTTCAGTCTTTCTCAGCATCAGGGTCTTCTCCAGGGAGTGCTCCCTTCTCATGTGGTGGCCAAAGTATTTGAGCTTCAGCTTCAGTATCTGGCCTTCCAGGGAACAGTCAAGGTTGATTTCTTTTAGGATTGACTGATTTGATCTCCTTGCAGTCCAAGGGACTCTCAAGAGTCTTCTCCAGCACCAGAATTCAAAAGCGTCTATTCTTTGGCGCTTGACCTTCCTTATAGTCCAACTCTTCGTGACCCCATATTGGACCACATCACGCCAGGCCCTCCTGTCTTCCGTCGTGCTCAAGAGTTTGATAATTTCATGTTTGTTGCCTCGATAACACTGCCTAACCATCTCATCCTTGGCCACTGATGGACCTCTGCTCCATATGCTTATCTAATTCCCCTTTGAAGCCGTCAGTCAACCCTAAAAGAAATCAACCCTGACTGTTCCCTGGAAGGCCAGATAATGAAACTGAAGCTCAAATACTTTGGCCACCCAATGAGAAGGGAGCCCTCACTGGAGAAGACCCTGATGCTGGGAAAGATTGAAGGTCAGAGAAGACGGGGACGGCAAAGGATGAGGTTAGAACGGATAAAAGGAAGTACTTCTTCACCCAAAGAGTGATTAACACTTGGAATTCACTGCCACAGGAAGTGGTGGCGGCTACAAGCATGGACGGCTTCAAGAGGGAATTAGATAAGTATATGGAGCAGAGGTCCATCAGTGGCTATTAGCCACAAGGTCTAGGTAGGGACTCTGGGGCAAGTGATGCTCTGTCTTCTTGCTGCTTGGGGGGGGGGTCAACAGTGGGAGGGCTTCTAATGTCCTGGCCCCGCTGGTGGACCTCCTGATGGCACTGGTATTTCTGGCCACTGTGTTGGACAGGATGGGCCTTTGGCCTGATCCAACATTGGCGTCTCTTATGTTCTTATGAGATGGTTAATCAGTGTCATAGATGCAACGAACATAAAATTGAGCAAACTTCAGAGGACAGCGGAAGACAGAAAGGCCTGGCGGGATCTGGTCCATGGGGTCGCAAAGAGTCGGACTCGAATGTGTGACTGAACAACAAAAAACTGGGAACCCAAAGCGACTGATGTGGGGCTCCTAGTCTCTGTTTTACCTTCACAACAGCCCTGCGAGGGAGGTGAGGCTGACAGTGTGTGGCTGGCCTAAGGCCCTCAAGCAAGGTTTCCTTGGCAGAGTGGGGATTCGAACCTGAGATCTCCCAAATCCTAGTATAACACTCCAACCACCACACCGACCAGCAGGCTTAGGTAAAGGTAAAGGTATCCCCTGCTCTAAAGCCAGTCGAATCCGACTCTATGGGGTGGTACTCATCTCAATTTCCAAGCCAAAGAGCCAACACTGTCTGAAGATGTTTCCGTGGTCATGTGGCCGCCATGACTAGATGCCGAGGTGCACGGAATGCTGTTACCTTGCGGTATCTATTTATCTACTTGCAATTTCTTGCTTTTGAATGCTAGGTTGGCAGGAGCTGGGGCCGGAGACGGGGGCTCACTCCATCACGTGGCACTCGGGTCTCGAACTGCTGAACAACAGACCTTCCAGTCTGCAGCTCAGCATCTTAACCACTTGAGCCACTGCAGCCAGCAGGCTTAGGCTAAGCGAAATTGGATACCATGTGGGGCGGGGGCTTTATCTCAAGGGGAGGGCCTTTGGTCTCCTCCGGGGTTGGGGGGGTGGTCTTTCCCAAAGTTGCAAGGTATGCAGTAATCTCTTCCCCGACTGTACCTGCAACAGTACCACGATTCTTCTCAAATTCCTACATTCCATCTGCGGAATCCCGAACCGCGTAACAGGAGTAGCCCTCCGAGCTGAATTGGGACAACCAATCTTGATGCTTCGGCCTGGTTGAAGGCTTCCCCCCTTGAAATTAAAGTTACGCACGCCGATATCCAAGAGGGCTCCCTTGTCTTAGAGGGGACTCTTGTGTTTCCCCTGGGGATAGACTTGACGAGCAACGGCTACGGCTCCTCACTCCTTACTAGATTCCCTTTTTGCAGGCGCCAGCCATAAGAACGAGTAAGAAACGCCTACTTAAGTGTGATTATAACACAATAATCTGTAAAGCACAACATGTTTGCTCTACTCAGGCCCCGGTCACATGGGCCGGATATCGCCGGGGGGAGGCATGGCTAATTGTCCGGTGCAGTTCGATCCAAGATTACGCAATCAGACACACCGGCGGCACACCATGAGTCCGTCCCTCCGCACCGGCGGGTAAACGAGGGTGGCGATCACACGCCGATCCTGCAGCGTGGCAAAGAAGCGGCACGGCGCGATCACACCAGCAATGGCTAGGCGCCGCTGCCGTGACAAACGGGGTCATATTTTTTTTTAAGCCGAAATGGCACTTTCACTTTCCTCTTTGTGTGCATGCACCGTTGGGTGCTTGTGCGCATCTTGTGGAGACTTGGGGGGGGGGAACCTGTTTGTGAAGGGACATGGACGGGCGCCGGATGCCACCACCGGAAACGTGATCAGACGCCAGCCCTTGCCTCGTGGTTTCCGGAAACTAGTACCTCGGAGGTACTAGTTTTTACCTCCGCATCTTCGGCAGGAAGCCTCGGGTTCGCCACGGGAGCTCTACGCTTCCCAGATGTTGCGGTGTGATCGCGCCCGGAAAATCCGCCTATCTTCCGTCTCTGTAGCGTAGCTAATGCTCTGTGTGACCACAGCCTCAGTTTGTTGGTGTTCTTCCACCCGGAAGACTTCCCGTTTACTGCTCATATTTGACTATTCCTTGCTGTAGGCGTGCCTTGATATTGGCCTGCCTTAATGGCTGACCATCTAGAGTTCTGCAAGGGAGGTATCCTAAGGTACCGGACTCTGATAGATTCAGGTGGGTTGCTGTATTGGGCTGAAGCGACAGAACAAGGTTTGTAGTCCGGTGGCATCTTTAGGACCCACAAAGTTTAATTCTGGGTTTAAACTTCCATGTGCACGCACACTTCTTCACACAAAATACACATGAGCAGGGGTCATTTCGTAGAAAAGGAGGTGCAGGAGCTCATTTGCATAACTCATTAGCATAACTTATTTGCATAGGCCACACCCCCTGACATCACCGGAAGTGTGTCAGAAGGCAACACCCACCGCTCAGGCTCCACTGGACTGTTTTGGATTGCTAGCTATCGGGGGGGGGGACGTGCAGATCTGTCCTCGTAGAGGAGGGAGAGCGTGGACCTGAATAAAACTTGGTCTTAAAGGTGCCACTGGACTGTTTTGGACCGGGGGGGCCTGGGGGGGCTCTGCAGCTTACCTGGCTGCTTCTTGCTCTGACTGAGGGCTGCTGGGAGCAGGGGGTGGGGCTTGTTGCATGTGCCCGCCCCCTGGGCTCTTTACTGCCGGAGCTCCGCTCCTGTGCGCTCCTGCAGGAAATGACCCCTGCACATGAGAGCTTATACCCAGAATTAAACTTTTTTGGTCTTAAAGGTGCCACTGGACTCAAACTTTGTGCTATACTCTGACAGAGTATGCAACAGAGATGCCCTGTATCACGTGACCTTTGGATGCAATTACTTAGAAATCTTTTGCTCCAAAACATAGATCATTTGGAGATATCTTTCATTAGAAAATAAATTCCTCTTTTAGCTTTGAAATTTTATGCATCTGCGATAGATTTTCGCAGCTGTTTGGGGTCTAGCTTTTTCTATATTTTGGTAATCTACTTAGAACTAATAAGTTAAGCAGCAGTATGAGGTTGATAGAAAATGCTGTATATAGCACACCATTCCATAAATAATTTTGCTTGTTCCTCCTTCTATCTTCCCCTTTTGTTTCATGCAGCCTGCGCATACTCTGTGCAGCATTTCAGGGAGGCAGTTGCCCCCCAAAGCGCTGTTCTGATAGACATGTTTCTTTTGTGCCGACTTCTCTCCCGCAACCAGCTGGCACCCCCTGACCCATTTTCTCCCTTTGCGGCGTCTCCCTGCAGAGCGCTCAAAATTCGGCGTCTCTTTTTTGAGCTGGACCCTTGACCAGACAGGCCTCGAGCCCATCCCAGGAAGGCTGTTCCCAGGCAGGGGTGGAAACAAGAACTGCTGGGAGCATCGATGGCCCTCCTCCCCGCATCAGTCCTGCGAAAATCGGTTGCCGACCACTGCCTGAAGAACCGGAACGATCTCCTAGCAGGGGGAGAGGCAAGCCAAGGAGGAAATCGATGCCTCCGCCACGAGCGGGCATCTGAGCATCCCGAGGCGCTCGTTAATCACTTCTCCCACGAGATGACGCTCAGCGCCTTTGCAGATGCACGGCTTCAAAGAAGGGAGCGCTGACTCACGGAAGCTCAGGCCCTGCCGCACATTTTGTTAAGTCTTTAAGGTGCTGCGGCTTCAAAGAGGACTGACTGTACACACACACACAAACACGCATAACCCAAATGCACATGCGCAGAGCCTCTGGAGTCATTAGGAATATGAAGTGTTACCTTCGGAGCCAGGCAGGCAGGTGAGCGATAGCGGGAGGCCCTAAAGAATTCAGTCTCCCCCTTTGCCGCTTAACTTCCGCCGAGCGCAAGAGCCAGGCCCCGGCGTGGATGCTTTCATGCCGAGCAACATAATTGAACAAGATGGTGGCGGAATAAAAGGAGATGTCATTTAAGGGTGTGTGTGTGTGTGTGTGTGTGTGTGTGATGTGACCGGCTGAGAGCCGTGGGCAGGCGACAAACAAAAAAGGACGTTCTGGCTCGACATGAATCATTTCATTTACCGTTTTGGTAGCGCCGCCTGAGACCAGGCATGGTGCGGGGGGAGCGGGATTTCCCTGTAGATTGCCAACATTCTCCTTTGGCAGGTGGGAAACGATGAAGAGCCAGGGGGGGGGGCAGGCCTGTCGCTACGGTGGGGCCTCTCGGGGCCCAGCCTCCCAACTTACTCTCAAGGTCCCACAACTTCCTGCCCAGCCCAGGGGGCCCCCTCAAAATCCTTATGAGCTATTGGAAGACATCAGGGTCCTGTGGGACCTTTGACAGTTCCGCAGGGCCTGCAAGACGGAGCTCTTCCGCCAGGCCTTCGACGAGGGAGCCGCATCACACAACCACGGCCCCGGCCCCGATATTAACACCTACATCAACATCAACAGCTGAGATAACCCAGACCACGATGGGAACTGCCTGCCTGTTTGCTGGATGCTGCTCATGCCTGGCCGCCGCGTATGAACTGTTTTTAGCACTAGCAATTTGTAATGTTTTATATTTATAGTGTCACGGTTTTACTTAGTTCTGCTTTAGCTGTGTAGTGTTTGTGTAGGCCGCCCTGAGCCTGCTACGGCAGGAAGCCCCGCCCTCCATTCCCATGCCGCCGGACGGGATGTGGGGAAAGAAGCAAAGAGAGCCAGTTTGGTGTCGCAGTTAAGTGCGCGGACTCTAATCTGGGAGAACCGGGTTTGATTCCCCACTCCTCCACTTGCACCTGGCTGGATGACCTTGGGCCAGTCACAAGTTCTCTCAGAGCTGTCCTTGAAAAAGAGCCGTTTCTGTCAGAGCTCTCTCAGCCCCACCTCCCTCACAGGGGGTGTCTGTGGTGGGGAGGGGAAAGGAAAGGAGTTTGTCAGCCACTCTGAGACTCCCTTGGGTAGTGAAGGGCGGGGTATAAATCCAATCTCCTCCTCCTCCTCCTCCTCCTTCTTCTTCTTCTTCTTCTTCTTCTTCTTCTTCTTCTTCTTCTTCTTCCCCATCAGTGTATTTCTACAACTGCACATATAACCTCAATTAGAGATAACAACAAAAACCTACAATTTGTTTGTATTTTTATGTGTGTGTGCGTGCGCGCGCACCAGGAAGTTATGGCGACCTTGTTTGGTGTAGTGGTTAAGAGCGGCAGACTAATCAGGGAGAACCGGGTTGGATTCCCCACTCCTCCACATGCAGCCAGCTCGGTGACCTTGGGTCAGTTACAAGTTCTCTCAGAGCTCTCTCAGACCCACCTGCCTCACAGGGTGTCTGTTGTGGGGAGAGGAAGGGAAGGAGACTGTAAGCCGCTCTGAGACTCTAAGGGAAGGGCAGGGTATAAGTCCAATCTCTTATTTTTCTTCTCTGGTGACTGTGTGTGCATCTGAAAGTCATGGCGACCTCAGGTGAGTGACCCCTACTGGGGGTTTGGAGGATATTCAGAGAGGTGGCTGAGTAAAGCCTGCCCCCGCCTCCCGGCTCTGGTATTCCAAGGAGGTCTCCCATCCAAGTACTCCTGCCAGAGTCAACATAAGAACATCAGAGAAGCCAATTTGGATCAGGCCAATGGCCCATCTAGTCCAACACTCTGTCACACAATGGCCAAAAATTCCAGGGGCCATCAGTAGGTCCAGCAGTGGGGCCAGGACACTAGGAGCCCCCCCACTGTTGCCCCCCCCCCCAAGCACCAAGGATACAGAGTCATCCCTCGCCCCAGACCGAGATCTCCTATCTGTACCTTGTGGCTAAGAGCCACGGATGGACCTCTGCTCCATATTAAGAACATAAGAGAAGCCAATGTTGGATCAGGCCAATGGCCCATCCAGTCCTACATTTGAGGGTCTCCACATATGTGAGTCCCAACCCAAATGGCTAGGGATGCCAACCTCCAGGTGGGACCAGGGGATCCCCTGGAATTTTACCTCCAGACTACAGCGATCAGTTTCCCTGGAGGAAATGGGTGCTTTGGAGGGTTAGCTCTAGGGCATCGTACCTCACTGTGGTCCCAGTCCACCCCAGGCTCCATCCCCAAATCTCCAGGAGTTTCCCAACCTGGATCTGGCAACCTTACATGGTCCCCCGGTTTCCCCCCCCCCCACCCGATATGCCCACCTTCTAATGCTCCTGGAGGAAAGAGGGACAGAGAGACATTTCCGGGACGGAAGAGCCAGTTCGCCCTTTAAAAAGTGGGAAGTCCGCTCTAGAAACTTTGGCACTTCGGCGTGGTTATTTATAAAGTGCAAATTCAGTTTAACCGGCTGAGAAGCAGAAGAGCGAAGATCATTGTGGCGCAGAATAATTTCCGAAAGGACGAGGACCCGGTTGTTGGGTTGTTGGGGGGTTTTTTTGCTTCCTCAGAGGTCACTTCAGGTTTGTTGCCTGATGAGTGAGCAGAAAAAAGGAGCTGCAGACGGACGGCCTCAGAATCCCTAATGGGGCTGGAGAGCAGCACGGCTTCCGCGGGACTCTCGGTCGACTCGGGATGGCGCGGGCAAGAGGAGGCTGAGCGCCAGCAGCCCGGCCCAGCCCGTTTCTGCAACTGCCCTTTTGGAAGACAGATAACCAACTGAGGGCCTTTTCAGGTCCCAGCCTCTCCACCCAGGCAGTTTCAGAGGCGCAGAAACAAAAACAGAACACAGCAGTTCATCACTCTCAATATTCCACAATTAAGAAGGGTACGCCTGTTTGGTGTGGTGGTTAAGTGTGCGGACTCTAATCTGGGAGAACCGGGTTTGATTCCCCACCCCTCCACTTGCAGCTGCCAGATGACCTTGGGCAAACCATAGTTCTGATAAGAGCTGTTCTTGAAAAAGAGCCGTTTCTCTCAGAGCTCTCTCAGCTCCACCTACCTCACAGGGTGTCTGTTGTGGGGAGGGGAAGGGAAAGGAGTTTGTCAGCCACTCTGAGACTCCTTCGGTAGTGAAGGTCAGGGAATAAATCCAATTTCCTCTTCATCTTCTTCTTCTGCCCATCTATCTCCCAATTTGATATATTTATTTCTTTTCACTATATTTTCCATTGGAATTAAACCCAAACCAATAGTGACCATATAAACTAAGCTTAATTTCAGCACTTCTGAAAACTCCGACACCGACTTTTAATCTTCGGATGATTTTAGTCAGTTGGCTCCGCCCCAAGTGTAGTTAGGTAATTTTTAATCTCTGGGCTCAGCCTGGGTTTTATGTGACTGTGATTATGTACCTTGACACGTGTTATGTCTATTTTATGTACTTATTTTATTCCTCTTTTGTATCCTCTTGGTCAAGACTTCGGTCATATAGACCTGTAATAAATTGAAATTGAAACTGAAATTGAATAAACTAAGCTTGTTATTCCAGTTCGGTCCTTGCATCAGTTAAACTCCTTTTATTATGCTTATACTAATTTGCGGCTCACCCTCTACCTACATGTATGGACTGGTAACTTCCATTTCGATGTATCTGAAGAAGTTTGCCTGCACATGAAAGTTTACAAACTTTCATAAATGACTTAGGAATAAAACTTTGTTGGTCTTAAGGGTGCCACCAAACTCGGACTTTGTTCTTACAATACAACAAAAATTAGAACAAAGTTTGAGTCCAATGTCACCTTTAAGACCAACAAAGTTTTATATTGTTTATATTGTTTATTTTATTTTTGTTTATTTTATTTGTGCACACAAAAGCTTATACCCAGAACAAAACTTTATTGGTCTTAAAGGTGCCCTTGGACAAGGGGGACCAAATAGATGTTGTTTACCTTGACTTCCAGAAAGCTTTTGATAAAGTCCCTCATCAAAGGCTCCTAAGTAAGCTCAGTAGTCATGGGATAAAAGGACAAGTCCTCTTGTGGATCAAAAACTGGCTAATTAATAGGAAACAGAGAGTGAGTATAAATGGGAAATTCTCTCAGTGGAGGGTGGTAAGCAGTGGGGTATCGCAGGGATCAGTACTTGGTCCAATGCCTTTTAACTTGTTCATTAATGATTTGGAGTTGGGAGTAAGCAGTGAAGTGGCTAAATTTGCAGATGACACAAAGTTGTTCAGGGTGGTGAGAACCAGTGAGGATTGTGAGGCACTCCAAAGGGATCTGTCAAGGATGGGCGAGTGGGCATCAACGTGGCAAATGGGGTTCAATGTGGCCAAGTGCAAAGTGATGCACATTGGAGCCAAAAATCCTAAATATAAATGCACGTTGATGCGATCCAATCTGGCAGAGACTGACCAAGAAAGAGATCTTGGAGTTGTAGTCAATAACTCACTGAAAATGTTGAGACAGTGTGCGACTGCAATAAAAAAGGCCAATGCTATCCTGGGGATTATTAGGAAGGGAACTGAAAACAAATCAGCCAGTATCATAATGCCCCTGTATAAATCGATGGTGCGACCTCATTTGGAGTACTGTGTGCAATTCTGGTCACTACACCTCAAAAAGGATATTATAGCTTTGGAAAAAGTGCAGAAAACGGCAACTCGAAGGATAAAAGGGTTGGAACACTTTCCCTAGGAAGAATGGTTAAAGCACTTGGGGCTCTTTAGCTTGGAGAAACGACGGCTGAAGGGTGACATGATTGAGGTTTATAAGATTATGCATGGGAAAGAGCAGGTAGAGAAAGAACTACTTTTCTCCCTTTCTCACCATACAAGAACTCGTGGGCACTCCATGAAATTACTGAGCGGTCAGGTTAGAATGGATAAAAGGAAGTCCTTCTTCATCCAAAGAATGATTAACACATGGAATTCCCTGCCACAGGAGGTGGTGGCAGCTACAAGCATCAACGGCTTCAAGAGGGAATTAGATAAACATATGGAGCAGACGTCCATCGGTAGCTGTTATCCACAAGGTCTAGATAGGGACTCTCAGTCTGGGGGGCAAGTGATGCTCTGTCTTCTTAGTGCTTGGGGGGTGTCAATAGTGGGAGGGCTTCTGGAGTTCTGGCCCCACTGCCGGACCTCCTGATGGCACCTGGCGTGTTTGGCCACTGTGTGACACCGATTGTTGGACTGGATGGGCCATTGGCCTGATCCAACACTGGCTTCTCTTATGTCATGTTCTTACTAGCAGTAAAGCCCGTTGTGGAAATAAATACAACG